TGAAATAAGGAAGTATAGAAATGTTTTTTTCAATCAAAGCTTGACTTTCAATACTTGTTCACTTTCAATAAATGCTGCTGATGTATTTTCATGCCTGTAACTTGCATAAACAGAGGGCACTTCTACACAAGATACTGACTGCACAGTAGCCAAATAATACTGCGCAGTAGCATGTCACAGCACTAACAGTATTAATACACTACGCAGTAATGTCACTAAAAGATGTTCACCTGAGCTACTGTGCAATAATTCTGGTTAACGGGCATGTATTTAGTACTTGATCTGCATGAGGACTTGTATAATCAAGTACTAATTATGTGCACAGTAACCACTACGCAGTTGTCTCTCATGTAGATATGCCCAGCAAGTGGTTATTGGGAAATATCCCAAGAGAATAGAAGATATCTAACCATGGGTTTACAAACTTATATTTTAGAAATACCAAGGATCAATGGTTCTGTTTATCAATTACTACTGTACTTGTGCAGATATAGTAGATACCTTAGGGAAAAACTGAATAAAGTTACATCTCTTTTATAAGTGCAGACCCCTATATTAAATATTGCGCTCTCTCTCTCGCTTTCTCTCTCTTTTTCTTTTTACCCTTGGGTCCCCAATCACAGGATGCTCTTTCAGATCTTGACAATGCTGTCAGGGGAACATAGTGTACCTGAAATAGAGAATCCTTCAAAATATTGATGCAGGCTCTGTTCTTTTTGCGATCCTTTCCCTCAATGAGATTCGGTACTGCATTTCAAATATGTGCCTCTACCACTCTTGTAAAAGGAGTGGTTCAATGAAATATCTAGCATACAGATTTGTTTTCTTGGTGGCAAAAAGAACTGTCAATAAACCAGTGAGTGTAAAGTGCTGCAATGCAAACAATCTCTATGTCAATTGTGCCACCTCAGTCCTCAGCCAGAGAAGGCATAAAATCTTTTGGGTGAGCAAAGAAATTCATCCTTACTGAACTGGATCCTAGATTCACTTCTTCCCTGCTGAGCCCTGCCTACTCACTACTACCTTTCCTGACACCCATTCCTCAGAAGGGTGCTGAATTTGTGCACCAGTGCTGCTCTCTGCCTCCTCCCCCACCCATCTGCTCTGCCTGGTTGTTAGAGTTTGGGTGCACATAGTACAGTACAAGAATGAGAAGGCAGACTTGTTTTTTGGTGGGTCAAGGTTTGTCAAAGATCTGGTACAGACATACCCTGTGGGTGTGTACAGACGTAACATTTAAATTGATCTAACTAGGGTTTAGTTGATCTAAGTCCTGATCTATTCAGACATTTGGGGAGGTTAAATTGGGCAAAAAATCACCGTCATGATCTAAATTAGATCACCTAACAAGGTGACCTAAGTTGGATCTGGAACAGGTTGCCCTAATCTACCAAACATCTGCAGGTCCTCAGAATGCAGCCCCAGGGCTGGGAAAGTCCAGCCACTTGCCCCAGCCCCAAGACTGTGCTCTTCCTAGACCCCCATCCTGACCAGGCTATTTTTAGCCCCCCTGACTCCCTTCATACACGAAGACAAACACCCCCCACCACTGCAGACCCACCTCCTCCACCAAAACCCACTAGCCCTCCTGATTCTGCCAACACCCCCAGCTTCTGTGGACCTACTGGCCCCTCCCCAGTTCTACATGTCTTTCTCCCCAAACCTACTTAGATTTGGTTCTCATAGTGAACATGTACACAGGCTGTTCCTGAGCAACGATCATCAGGGATCCAGGTTTTCAGTTTCCCACAGGAAAACAGAGAAAAACACTGATTCCCCATTTACCAGAGGAAAATGTGGATTTCTCATTTTAATAGAGAAACCCCCGGATTTTGCAGTTTTGCAAAGACCTCTTTGCAGGCTGGCAGAGTTCCACCCTGGGGAACTGCAAGAGGCTGGGAGGGAGTGGGAGGAGGGCAGCCAGGCAGTGGGCACCATGTGCATGTATATGCACATGGCCACCAGGCAGCCTGGAGAGCAGCTCCCATAGGTAAGTGGGAGAGGGATTGAGGCCCCCATAGAGAGGGACTTGGGCAGGGTTGGGGCTGGTGCTGCTGCCCAGCTGGGCAGTATGTGGGGCTTGGGACCCAGGGCCACAATGCATAGCCACACAGCCCCAGTGGGGAGTGGGATGGGGCTGTGGACAGCTGTCCAGGGGGTTAGGAGGTAGGGCCGGCTCCCTACCATTGTGCACACTCCTGGGGGACAGGAGGGACCCATACCCCCAAGATCTGTGCACGGGGCATGGGCAAGTGCAGGTTGCCCACTGCAGGCTTGAACTGTCCACCCTGCTGTCCTCCCCTGGGGCCTCTGCAGGCCAGTGAGTAAAACCCAGCATGACAGGGAACAGTGGGGCTGCACTCTGACCTCCTTATCACTGGGAGCTCTGTGGTACCGAGGTGTCCCCTGCATGCGTGGAAGCAGCGAAGGCATCAGTATGGAATTGTGCCCCTCACTGCTGCTGCACACTCAGGGGCCACCTCACCACGGCAGCATGGAGCTCACAGTGGCAAGCACCTTCCCAACACAGCCCCACTGTTCCCTGCAGCACTGGGTCATGCCCGCTGGGCTGTGGAGGTCCCAGGGGAGGAAAGCAGGATGGAAGTCTGAGCCCACAGTGGGCAGCTTGTGCCCACCCCTGCTCCCACCCCTGCTCCCACCCCATTCACTGATCTGGGGGGCACAAGTCCCCCCTGCTTCCCCCGGGAGTGCACTCAGTGTTGGGGAGCCACTCCCTACTGCCCCCCCAGCCAAGCTCACAGCAGGCAGGTAGCAGTGGGGGAGCCAGGCTCTGCTCTGCTGCAGCAGCTGCCACCTCCTGCTGGGGATGGGGCTCTGGACCTGGGTCCTTGGCCCCATAGCCCTAGCAGCTAAGGGCTGGGGGGGTGGGCAGGGAGTTGCAGGGGTGGGGAGTGAGGGGCACCAGCAGGGTTGGGGGGCTGTGGTGGGAAGTGAGGGACCTTTCATTTTAGTCACAGATTTGGGAGATTTATTAGAGAATTTGTGATTTTTTTATCAGGGAAAACCAGGATCCCTGCTTAAAGTAAGCTGCATGGTTGTAGATCAGTTGTGGCAAATGTCTGCACATACCCTATGGGTTCAGCAATGGCTCTGACTGCGCCTAGGCTTGAGCAGGGACTATTACTGCAAACCTAGTAGAAGCAAGTTCTAGGCATTTAAAATGTATTTTTCACATTGCAGCAGCCAAGTTATACAAACTGTAAAGGCACTCTTCCAAAAAGCTTTTGCAAAGCCATACCATTGCTATGACAGCCCCATGAAGGGCTGTGTTTTGAAACTCCTGGCTCATTCACCCCTTATGGCTTAGTCAGCAAGCTGAGGGTGAAATTCATCTCTGTACAAAAGCTATTCAAAATATTTACTTAAATGAATTTTAAGCCTGAACCTTATACTGACTGCCTGCATATAGGTGAACTGTACCTTGAAAGAGGACTCTAATTATGAACTACTACACAATCAAATGATAAAAAGATGGAAAAGCAAAATGTACAGCCCTGAGTGAGATGGTTTATTGTCATTAGTGACTTGGCTTTGTGTGCTTAACTTTGAAAACTCAGCATTTCCTTAACATAAAGTCCAGAAAACACTAATTACCATTTGATTTCAATGGTGCTGCTCACTGTAGCAAGCTCTACTGATCAGCAGTTACTGTTTGCAGGCTTGGTTACATAGATTTTATATATGCAATTAGAGTAGATATCTTAGCTCTCCTGGGGTTGTTGAAGGAAATAGTCACATTTTAAATTTGGAAGGGTATATTAGATTGTTTTGAACTATTATTAGCGATTAAATTTCATTTCTGTTTATGATATATTGTATAACAAAACTGAAAGCACCTCTGAATTTACTTTTTCAGTATTGCTATGCAGGACCATTTCACCCTGTCATGCAGTAAGTTATTTTACAGGAACCAAGTTTGTTTTCCATGACTATTACAAAAAAAGTTTGGAAATATAAGTTGGTGCCCCAGTAGGAATGCAGTGTAGAGTGCCAATGTAGACAGTGCTGCAAGAACATGAACTAGATTTTGTATCCTTGGAGTTATTTTTCACCAAGGACCTGCCAAAGCAATGGCAGAGAAGTTATTAGTCAATATATGCTCAGAGGATCCCAGGAAGAAAACCAGGCATCACACTCTAGAGAATATAAAAACCACCTCCCCCACCCTCCCAAAGCTTTTACCAGTCTGACTTTGGTAAAAACTCCTTTCTGACTCCAAATTGGGCAATCAATATGATCCTGAGTGGGAAAAGAAGACCCTCCCGCCCATACCTGAGATATTTCTAAATGTCAGCAAAAAACACCATTAGTACCACTTTAAAAAATACTCCCATAGTAATGCTGTAAATTATGCTTCAAGAAAGTTGGGAAGACAAATATTCCTTCTCGGTTCTTGCAGGTGACCAGCAAAAACCAGGGGTCATGGGACTATCAATCCTTCAGAGAGAAGGAAATATGTTTTGATTCTTGAGCTTGCTAAATATTCCCAGTATTAGACTTAAGCAGAAAGGAGGAGGGGTTTATTTTGGGTGTTTGGAAAATGGAAATTAGAGCTCCTGCAAAAAATCAGGCTGGCATACGTGCAGTCTTTTTCATGCTGGTGATTTCTTCAGAAAGATGGTAAAGGGGTGTATGTAATGTCTAAAAAGACACTACACTGTATCAAATCATTATTAAAGCACTTTTTAAGAAGCTTGAACTCTATTTCCATAATGTCATATGGCTTGTACATAACATCTTTGAAAGTTATTATTAGCGTTATATTTAACATATTTTTTATTATCTGCAATCCTGAATGAAGATATGTATCATCATCTATATTGAACTTTTTTTTTTCACTTTGTGCCTGCAAAAGCTAATTTTTCAACACACCAAATAGCATGTACCTGTGCTTGCACATGACAAGACAAGCAAGCTCTCTGTGTTTATAAGGTTGTTCTATAACCCATTTGATGATTTTCTTTTCTTTTCTTTCCTAGGGACTTTGTGCTCATACTTTTTATGGTCATCTGCATTCCTGCAATCATGCCACATTCAACATGAGAGTAAGTTCCAACTGTGAAGGTTTCATTTCTTATCTCCACATTCCTCTCTTGTAAATGACTTGCATGAATAGCAATGTTGGATCTACCTGTAGAAACATTTCTTAATGTGTGTGCCTTACACACACAATGACCAGAGTCATTTCAGTAATGGGTATAATAAAGCCTCATCCCTGTGGCCAACTTTTGTTTCTCTCAGTGCAAGATTTCTCTGAGCTATACTTTTTAACATGATCGTAGGGTTAATTTGTTTAGATGATATTTTGTGCTGACCTAATTATTTCCTGAATTGCTGATGTATTGTTCCTGTCTATAAAAGATATTTTGTACCCTTTTTTGTGGGATTACTGAGAGAATGCAAGTGTGTCACATCTGAAGTAGCCTGTTTCCCTTTATTGGATAAATCTCCTGGGGGAGCATTATGCATCTCACAAACCAGCATACTGTATGCTTAAAAGCTCTGATCCAAAGCCTTCTGAAGCTGGTTTAGGAACCCCATTGATTTAGTGGTCCAAAATGCATGAGAGGCATGTTTAAAACATAGAACCAAGCTCCAAACCAGGAATGATCCTCCTTATGAGGATTATAAGCCTCTCCAGGATTCACTGTAACTGTAAGGAGTAAAGGGAAGAGAAGATGCTGTAACATTTTTGATGAATGGTGGAGGAAAAGATAGCCCCAGTCACATTCCCCCCTAAGGTTTTTTACTGCATGCAATAAAGAAGTTGAAGTAGGTCTGCTTGCCTCAACAAAAGGAAAGAAAACCTTTCTGTTTACCCCATCCTTTCTATGCACCCCACTCTCATCTTGGAGGGTTGTTAATTCTTAGGCAGGCACACACATGGTGAAGGAAGTGGCGTTTCATACAAGAGAAGTGACTCATTCCCTTTTCTCATTCTTGATGCATCTCTTAGTAGTTGTTCCTACTGCCCATCCTACTCTTTCTATTATTTTGTTTCAGGATATTGAGTAATAGGAAGCTCTGAATAGTGTCCTTTGACTAAAAGCAGCAGCTGCTCCACTGCCTCCTATTGCCAATCTCCTGTGTGACTGGAAAGAAACCGTAGGAGCTCTTCTATTAAAACCTAGTAGAGTCAGATTTATTCCTCACTTTAGGGCAGGCTACCCAAGTCCCCAAACCCACGATTGTCCCCACTCCATATTTTTAAATGCTACTGAACATTTACCTAACCTTGTCTTTCAGTATTTTGCAGCATGGTGACCTAGACATAATAGAGTCTAGGTAACTATTTACAGTAATTTTAATGGTGAGTGAGAGCTTTATTATAGGAAGGACAGGTACAGGATGGCCTCAGTGCTGTGAGTATACTAAGAGACTTGAATCCCCTACATGACCTACAATAATTAACAGGAAGCTGGGGAACTGGATGCTGATAATCTTCCAGATAAGCATGTTATTTTAATAAAGAATATTACAGCTGGCATTAAACTGTAGGTTGAAATCATTGGTTGACATTCTCAATGATTGAATTAGTAAAGATAGAAACAGCTAGTGCAGGGTTGATTAAATTGAGGGAGGAATATTATTTCAGAAGCTGTAATTGGACTTACATAATTTTATTGCATGTACTAGGAAGACTAGGCAACTGAAGCTGATATGGGTATGTTTTGTATGTCTATTTGGCTGGCCAGCATAGCCAGAGAAACTTTTTTTTTAACTAAAAATAGCACCACAAGAATCTTTTCTATCTTTCTCTCTCTACTGAGCACCCATTCAAATATTAATGTGTTTAATGGTACTCAGCAATTGGGTTGGTTCGGATATTTTTGACAAGGCTTTTTTTGGGAAGGGTGGAGGTCAGGAAATGCAGATGTGTCAAAAACAAAAGATTTGACAAAAACTTTGACATTTTTAAGCAAACCTTTCACTGGAAAGATTTCTTACGCCCAGGATAGAATTTCTGTAGAATGAGACACGCACACATTGCTCCTCTCCCATTCCTCAGTAACAAAATTAGAAGTTAGCACACCTACTTTTTAGAGATGGCTCAGAGTTTCATTGGAAAAAGGTATTGAACTCATCACTTTTCATTTGAAACTTATCAGATTTGACAAACTTTTTTCCAATGGATCCAGAAGAACCTTGTCTGAATTTTTGGTGGACTTCAGGGCTTGGGAAATACAGGTTCCAAGATTGTAGGCTCTAGGGCAGATGACCTAGCCACTATGACCAAAAGCCAGGAGCTTCCAAGAAGATCCTAAGCCCCATTTTCTTCTAAGTTCCTGAATTTCTTTAGAAAATGTTACTTAGACTCCTAAATCACTTAATCACTTTTGACAGTTATCCGCTTCAGCTGCCTAAAACACCATGTGTAATATCAATTTCTAAGTATATGTTAATTGCATATAATTGCAGTACGTATTGCATACGTTCCTATTATGCAATCTGGAGCAGCATGCACTTAGCATAACATTTTAAAAATGAATTATATTCCCCACTATTGAAACTACAGGTGGTATTTACTATTAAAAGAGATAGACAGACCTCAGGATCCAAATTTTCAAGTCTGCTCATCAAGTAACATCAGCCCTTGGACTTTTTACAACAAATCCCATTTCCAAAGACCTCCTATTTAGGCACCAGAGAATATGGCCTGTTCTTTAAAAAATGCCTTTGTTACAGTCTTTGGAAAATATCTGGCTCAGACTTTCACATTATTTTAGCAGGTTCTGGTTATGTCAAAATTGTTATAACACAATGTTATCAGATACTTGTAAGCAAGGTTCTAATTACACTTTGACGCTTGGGGGAGTCTGCAAAAAAAAATGTCTGGATTCAGGGCTGTGCTCATGGGTCCCCGCCAGTATTGCGGTGGCCACCAGCAGCAACGGCAGCCAGAAGGAGCCACCATTGCCTGGGCTGCTTAGAAGGGTGTGGGGCAGCCCAAGGACTGACCAGCCCATGGAGGGGTTCTCACCTCTTATGGAGGGACTCAGCCCCTCTGAGTTCCTCTATAATTCAAACACAGCTTGTAAGTTTCTTTATTTTTCTAGGTTTGCTCTGTACCTAGAGACAAAATTGTTCGGAAAGGTTTGAGCAAATTCCCTTAATAATTTACAAGTGGGAAACATATACATTTTTTTAGTTAATATGAATTTTTTACTCCCATGTAACTACAACACTGTTGATTTTACAGACAAATGTGTAGAAAGTAGCGCTGCCCTCCAAAAGTGAAGTCACTGTTGTTTACAAAACCATATATTTAAGTATGTATGTATGAAAGTGTCCTTTGGAAGTTACACTGTAGGCTCAGATTCCCTTTAAAAGTTCTGATTCAATGGTCCCAAACACACAAAACTGACTAGTACAGCAGATTGCATATAACTGGGCTAACATGGAAGGCAGAGCTTCACCTTCCCAGATGGACTCCATCTGGGAGGCAAAATCTCTTCCCCAGTTTCCCAGCTGTTATAGGGGTTTCAACCAAAGTCCCTGTATATCCATGTTTTTGATCTGCAATGGCAGAAAAAAAATGTGACAATTACCTATTAGTAATTTCACAAAAAAAATTCCCCCCCTCCAAAACCATGATGTTTTATCTTAATAAAAGCATGTTTTCAATCTGCCAGGTCTTGTCATCACTCTGTGGTATCTATGTTTATTTCAGTGGAGGTACTACAGATTTGTAACTAAGTTGGATCCCTTGTGCCTGTATGCATGTTTGTGTTTAAACAGATGCAAGAGGTATCATTCACTTTTGCCTGTTTGTAACTGATCTTTTCCACACCTTGCCTTCATCACATTTGGAGAGCAACCACCAAATTTCCTTTAAATAAGTAATATTTCTTGCATTATGGTCATAAAGGCCCCAAACACACCAAAACATAGTTAATATCAGTATCAAGCTTTCCCTCCCCAAGTAGATATGCTAACAACATTTCAGGATGGTCTTTCATTGATTTACTGAAGGACAAATAATGTCAGACAGTTCTTATACCAAAACGAAATTTCAATTTTGTTTACCTCTTCAGCAGTCCTGCTTGATGTCAGCTACCATTTAGCTGGGCCAATAATATTGATATTTGATGTCAGTTCTTATTCATTACTGCACCCAAATGATGTAAGAGTCAAATCTTTTAGATGTTTCCATGGACGGCCAAATAAAGCCAAGGCTTTCTGAATACCGCTAGCAGTAAGAAACAAGGAAAGAACAGAATAAAAATTCAGATGTGTATCTCCTGTTATTGTTATTTATGTATTCAAAATGTTGAGCTCTTTGCATAAGCTCAAAGCTAGCTACTTACAAAGGTTACCTAGTAATATCAAACTTATGCAATTATACATTCAAACAGGTTAATAGGTTCTTTCCCTAGTTTATTTTTGTCTGTGCATACAAAATATAATTACAGAACAGGGCTACATTTTAAATACAAACTTTAGTATTATTGGTTAACCATTTTTTAGGCTATTGGATTTATTTGAAGTAAAAAAAGTTAAAAAAAGAATTGGAAAAATATCCTCCTCAAGCAAAAGGCAGAAATAAATCACTATTCTTTCTCAGTGACATTGCAAGGAAAAAAGTATGCATCAAAACAGACTCTTTCCTTGTATAGTTTTTCATCCCTTTTTCTGGCAGAAAAATTCTATCAGATGTCAATGAAATTGTAAGAATACACTCCATCTCAAACAACCAGGATTGATTCCACCTTCAGCAGCTGGCTAGTTCATACTAGCTCCCATTCTTTATAGGACATTCCCATTCTTTATATCTCAGGGATATTTCCTCTCTGGCAAAATACTCTTCATTACTTCCTTCCCTAGCTCATGCCATCTATATTTATTATAGCATCCTCCAGTCAGTTGGTAGCTACCTATCTGCATCGTCATGGTGGGATCCAAAAAGAAGTTGTGAACTCGTCCCAGGAGAACAGTAATTTATCTACTATATCTCTGTGTATATATAGCATGTATATGTGTGTGTGTGTGTATGTATATAACATGTCTGCCAACTGCATGAAGGTCAGACATCATGGCATCTGAC